AGAGAGAGAGAGAGAGAGAGAGAGAGAGAGAGAGAGAGAGAGAGAGAGAGAGAGAGAGAGAGAGAGAGAGGGTTGGACGAGTTTGCCGTGAAATGGCAGACTTCTCCAGGCGGAACGCCCGCTCTCCCCCCCGCCGCCATGGCCGCATGACCCTGTCACAAACTTGCGGCCAAATACATTCGCTGCACAAAATGTGTGTGTGTGTGAAAGGCCGACCGGTTGGACCCCCGCTACCCCCTCTTTCCCACGCCGACTTCCCGATGGGTGATTCCTTGTCGTTTCGCTGAACTCCAAAAAGCACTGGCGGCCGGCTTCATTTACCTGCCGACCACCCCTGCCACCCGCCCGACTCCAACTCAGTTTCGGCCTCTCAACTCGCAGTCCCAGCAACGAAAAAAAAATGGGACAGCCTGCTGGTCGCCGACCTACCGACAAAATCGCTCCGGAAGGCCAGGGAGGGGTAAATTTTGACGGCGGGGGTAGTGGTGGTTTAAGTGTTGTTTGTAATTTGGAGGGGGTTGGTCCTCTCCGGGGCTCTGTCCTCGTCTGGTCCATTCTTTTCCCTGCAAGCGAAACTGGGTAATGCCCCCAGCCTGTTCCATTCCCAGGTAGACTGTGAGGGAGGAGTTTCTGATTGGAAATTTACTTTTTTTTTCACTACACTAAATTCTTCTCTCATATTCTTTCGCCTTTCACTACACATACCTACTCCTAAGGCTATATAGAGGGGACCCCTGCAAGCAGAGCTACCTCTGACGGTGAAGGGGATATTGCATGTTGCCCCTTGCCCTAGTGGTTAATGGGGGTCCAATGCGCTGGACCCCCATTGGAAATATACTTTGATCGGAAGACGCAGCCTTGGTCTGCCAGGCGGAGTGTACCAGCATCTCCCCCTGGCAGGCCCAGCATTTGGTCGCTCCGATCTATTGGTGGGGAGCCGCCCCTGCTAGAAACCGGGTCAGCGTCCCATAACCATCAATATTCGCTCTTGATGCACTCTATTATGAATCCGTCTCAGGAGTGGGGCCCGGGTTCATATGAGAAACCAAAACGAACTTTTCCAAGGTGACGTCTGCACCCTAAGTGGGCCACCTGAACTCAGTTTCTGCTCCCATGTACGCATGCCCCTGCAGTCCAAAGCCAATATTCGCTCTTGATGCACTCTTTTACGAATCCATCCCACCACCGGGGCCAACAGCCCGGCTTCATCTGAGGAACCAAAATGCACTTTTCCAAGGTGACGTCTGGACCCTACGTGGGGCACCTGAAGCCTGCACCCAGTTTCTGCTCCAATGTACACATGCCCCTGCAGTCCAAAGCCGGTGCCCCCAGCAGTCAATCGCCCCCCTGACCCCTGTAGCAGCCGGTGCCCCCAGCAGTCAATCTCCCCCCTGACCCCTGTAGCAGGAGGGTGGGTCCACGACCGGGCCGAGCAGGCCCTCTTGCAGGATTGTTTGTCTGCGAGCTGTCCAGTGGCCGTGGGTTCCCCCACCCCTGCTCCAGGGGAGCCGCTGTGCTAATCGGTTGCAGTTGTATTTACACCAGAAACGCTGCAGATCACGAATTTCTGGACTGGAAGCCGAGATAGGCTGGGAGGCCGGGTCCCAACGGCCACCGGAGGCATTTTCGAAAGGGTGCAGCGAACGTTAGACGCTCTTGGGCGGGACAATCGGACGAAAGATTTTCTGGAGAGAGAAGAAAAGGGAGAAGAGATGAGGGCGAATCCCTGTCTGGGGTCGACCGGCAGGGAACAGGTTCGGCCAAGCACCCTCATCCGTCTGCTATCAGGCTGGACAGAGCGGGAGGGCGGAGGTAAGGTATAGTATTTGGCATGGAGGCCTTCGCTTTTGGGATTCTCCATCGCCGTTGTCACCTTTATTTTTAATATTGTATTTTATTTTTAGATGGATAGCGCTTGTCTCCCTCTCCCTGCACTGTAGATGAATGCGTCACTTTGGCGTTCTAGTAGTTACGCACTTGCCCTTACTACGTGTTCCTCCATGCAAATGCCCTTGCCTCCTAATCCCTTGCACCCCGTTCATCGACAGGAAGGATAATGGCAGAGACCGTGTTCGTCAATCCTGTTTGCCTCTTCAACCCGCGATGAGATGGCTAATCTGAGAAACAACGACGTGCTGAATGGGCGGTTTGGGGGAGATTGGGGGAGATGCATTGTGGACATCGTGCCACGTCTACTTCGTTTTCCCTGGAGACCATCGTACAATGTCTATTTCCCTCGTTTTCCGAGACTACCGTAGTGGAGTGTTAGGATTGCAAGAGTGGG